TTTTCCCATGAATACTGCACCTGTGTTATGTCTAATATCCTGCCTGGTTCCCATGGACTGGGCGCGCAACCGTTTCATTAGCCCGCCAGCGGGAAAGTTATTCATTGGACCTGTATCTCTTTGAAGTTCCTTTATTATGCTTGATCTAACTGTGTATCCCCAGTTCTAACAAAGAACGTGTTTGAGTATGTCGTCAACGCTTTGAAATAAATTTTGCTTTTCCTAAAACGTGGATTTATTCTCGATGCTTGGGGATCCAACAATTGATCAATGTTCATTCACCTTTCTCTAGTCCACTGCTGATTCGCAGCACCCAATTCAAAGATCCACCAATTATGAAAATGATAAATGTATCCAAGCATACAGATGTCACCTCACTCCATATCTCTGGATAATGTTTCACTGTGGTTTCATGTACATATTTTAGAAATATCAGCTACACAACTGGACTCCAAGCAAACCTCACAGGACAGTTCCCACAACTGGACTCCAATCAAACCTCACAGGACAGTTCCCACAGTGAAGAAGAACCATCCCCCAGGACCAGCTTCCATGTCTTCCAGGTCTGGAACCACTCGTTCTGAGGGATGGACGCCACAGGATTTCTGAGGGATGGACATCCATGATTTCAGGAGCCCAAGCAGTGCCATCCTAAGCAGAGTTACACTCTTTTAAGTCAACTGAAGATAAAGGGTTTAGAAAGGTGTAACTCTACTTAGGATGGCACGGTGTGAAGTCCATAAAAACCACCAAGGCCACACCCACTTCCTAGTGAAGGACAACCAGCAGGATAACCAAAGTAGCTTTCATCCTAAAACTGGGACTGAAGAGGAATAAAATGGAACTAACTTCACTCAGGAGCACCTGGAACTGTCCAGCCACAATGTGCTCAAAAGATCTTGCCTCCCCAAAAAGCACACCCCAGAATTTATGAACATTTAAAGCCAACTGACCAAGTAAAGATGCAATTCGACACATGTGCTTCCTCAGGAGCCATTCCAGCCAAATTGAACAGTCCTCACTTATGAGTCAATCTTCACAGGATTAGCTTGTAACATTTCTTGTAAATCGGGTGACAGCTATCATTAAAATTAAGGCGGAAACCGGTCCTTAAAGGCATTCATTCACACAGAGCATGAATAGCCCCTTATGATGAATTGCTGTTTAAAAAATATATCCTGTCTCTTAATTGACACAATACAACACATCTTGATTCCAACCATCCCTCCTTACTGACACTCCTACTGAAACTGTACTTGGGGAGGGATGGCTCACTTTACTTATTAGAAAGCTTCTGAAGTACTCCCATCCAAGGCCCAGCATCTATCAGCACCACCATCAGCTAACTCTGCAAAAATGAATTTCATTACTCAACAATACTTCTGGAAAAATTACCCTAATTAGACTAAGACAGTTGGCGACTGCAGGAGGTGTTGCTGCCAACGGAGAGAGCCAGGGAAAATTCACCCACACTTTCCCACATGGGGATCACTTTCACGCCAACCCCCTCCCTCCAACACCTCAGTTCATAAGCAGTCATCTGCGTATGCACACATGCTGATGTTACGACATGTGCACGACAGGCACAGCAACGCGGCTTTTCACCACATGCTTTTTTCAAGTCTCTTCAAATGCATAGTGGCTGACCAAACTGCTTTTATTCTATTATTACAGGCATTCAGATAATCTGGGAAACAGACATGCAAACACACCAGGTAAACTTTCAGAAATTCTTCCACTTTTTTTAAAAAATAATTCTTTATGCCACTAAGCGGAACCCAGATTACTTATGGGAAATCACAGCCAACTGACAACACAGTATAATACAAGCTCTAAGAAAAAACTAATACAGCTCTTTCAAATATAACAAGTCTTAAGGGAGGCCAGGCCTGAGCCCTTTCCCCAAGCACAGAAAAGGGCAGAACTGAGCAGACCTGGGTGGAACTCTCTCCCCCCTAGTAGCAAAAGCATGTTCTAGATATTGGAGTAGACTTAGGGCCAAACTACACGAGACATTTATTCACGAGTCAGGTCAGAGTTCCCTGGACCCAAAGTTTCCCACACCCAATTTGTTAAAAAACATCTTTTCGAGTTTTGCCCACTATGGGTGACACAGGGAAGAGCAGGGCTGAGCAGCTAGTCTTCTTCAGCCCTGGCGGAAACATTCCCCTCTGAAGAAAAGAGAGGGACTCTGCAGGGACCCACGAGGATGGAGAAATGCCACCCTCCAATGCCACACCCCATGCCCCTTCCCCTCTTGCTCTGCCTAGCAGCACATTATTCTCCTCTCTTCTCCCCCGACCTCTTGGCCCCCTTTTTCCTCGTCCCTACCCACTCTTATCAGACGATCTCCTCCTCCTTCCCTTGACCAAGACCTACTTTTAAAACAAATTATGTTCTTGTTTTTAACCTTACATATATTCACAGAAACATATGCTCTAGCTCAGGTGTACCCCGTCCTGCATTATTTTTCATCTACACGAGAGGGCCACTTATCCCTGTTAGCTGTACGATAATAGAATTTAATTTGTTAACTATGCTTTCAAAGCACTTCACATTACCAACATAATGACAGAAACCCTTGAAACAATCCCGTAGCATAGGCTAGGATCATTATCCTTGTGGCCCAGGCTAGCCCAGTCTCATAACAACCTGGAAACGAAGCAGAGACCACCAAGAAGTCCAGGGTTGTGCCACAGAAGCAGGCCGTGGCAAACCATCTCTGAGCATCTCTTGCCTTTTGGAAACCCTATGGGGTTACCGTAAGTCAGCTGTGACTTGATGGCACTTTCCACCACCAGCACAGACAGCTTGCCTAAGGCCAATTAGTAAATTATTGGCAGAGGCAGCACTAGAATCAGTCCCTGACTTCAATTTGCTGTTTTGTCTGCAGAATCTTGGACGGTGGTTTCTCTAGTGGCAACATTCCAGGTACTACACCCCAACAAATCTGCATGGCTATGGACAAGCATAAAATGAGAATTAAAAAAACCCAAAAAACCAATCAGACAACCCTCAACTTTCCCACTGAATTCAGGGTCCTCAGTCCCACATATCCCCAAATATGTGGAAACCAACATAAATTCTGAGCTTATCAACATGAAAGAACTTGAGTTAATGAACCCACTTAACATCTGGTATCCCACCCTTGATAAAACTGATATTGATAAATTTGATTGGGAAACTGTCCAAAATGTTAAATTTAAACTTATTTTATATAACTAAGTAAGAAGTATAATCTTCAACCATTGTTCTAGTTTATAACTCCATATTATGATGTCTGTTGAAACATTTTGTATCACTTGTTTTAACTTTTTAAGCTTAATGCTGCCCAACAACAATGGTTAAATTTAGGACTATTGTTCTTGTATGTCTATGATTATGTTGTACTTTTTAAACTGAAATTGCACACTGTTACTGTAATAAGACTTTCCTGTGGTTGATATATGTTATAATTATATTCCAAAAAACGTTAGTAAAGATATATTTCAAAAAAAAATCAACTTGAAAGAACTAGCCTGCTAAGATACAGTGTATGACCCTGTGTAAACAGCGCTTCCCCGATATTTTATGGAAGCTCCATACATTTTATGGAGATCTGAACATAGCAAGCAATAGGAGCCACATTCACACATGCCCTTGATCATGACTAAATCAAAGTTAGCAAAGAGGAAGAGTCCAGCAGCACCTTGAAGACTAACAAAATTTGTGGCAGGGTGTGATCTTTCATGAGTCACTGCTTGCTTCTTCACCCTAGCAATACCTGAAGAAGTGAGCAATGAATCACAAAAGCTCACATCCTGCCACAGATGTTGTTAGTCTTTAAGGTGCTACTGGACTCTTCCTCTTTTCTACTGTTACAGACAGACTAGCACGGCTACCCATCTTGATCTAAACCAAAGCTGTATTTTGTAATTCCAAGAAGTTTCATGTAAGCACAGAATTTCAAACCGGGAACAGAATTCAGTAACTCAAAATGACAAGGCACGTTTCATAGCCACAGTTTTCATAGCCATTTAAAACAGGGGAGCAACATTTGATTTGGGAGGGGCTGTGGCTTACTGGCAGAGCATCAACTTGGCATGCAGAAAATCCCAGGTTCTGTCCTTGGTATTTCCAGTAAGGGTCAGGTCATCAGTGATGTGAAAGACCTCTGTTTGAGACCCCGGAGAGCTGCTGCCGGTCTGAGTAGATGATTCTGATTTTGAGGAACCAATGGTCTGACTCAGAACATGGGAGCTACACGTGTTCATGCAACACTGATCACAAAAGACAGAAAGATTTTCTGGGGGTGGACTTTTGGTGCTATGCATAGCTCTTCACTCATTCTCAGATATTGACTTTGGTTTCGTGAAGAGTACACATGGCGACAAAAAGATTCTAAGTTCCTGTGAAAGCCAATGAAATGCCAGAAGGGAACCTTTCTCTTTCCTGCCTGACTTCCTGGGTCAAAGTGCACATCTGGGTCCATTTAATGCATGTGGGTGGAAAGCCACTTTGCACTGGGAAAGCAGGTAAACAGGAACAATCATGTGGTTTGCCAATCATGTGAATATTTCCCCCTATACTACCAGTTTGGACAAAAATAACTTCCACCAAGGTGGCTCACATGGATGATGCTTGCAGGTGTTATTATTGCAATGTGGTACAGGTTTTTGGTGGCAATCACGTAACAACTGGGGCAAAGTTCAAACTTCGGATCAATACACTTCCAACTTCCTTTGGAAGTCATTTCAACTGGGGCATTAGTAGCATCACATTTCACAAGAGGTCTGTAGTTAAAGCCACACAACATGTGGCTACTCCTTAAACAACTACAGCAAACCACATTGAGGGAAGACAGCCTATTATACTAGAATTCAAAGTCTACGATTATCAGCAGGTGCTAATGAGGTCATATATTTTCGAACGTTACATTCTCCCACAAAAGCAAAGCCCTAATCATCCGAAGTACTGTAAATATTCTTCAAATACACAGAAAAATAAGTTTAGCTACTTACGATGTCCCTTGCTGAGAAACAGACAGTGTTTTAGAAGGTGCATCATATTGCTCTGTAGACAAAGAAAAAAGAAGTAATTATTTCAGGCTTTGCATGAGTATCTCCCTTCAATACGTTTTGTGCTACATGGATTCTCTCTCCCTCTCCGGTAATTTTATGCATATGATATATTGGATGAAAATCATGGTAAACAGATGGGACATTGCTAAGAGTCCTGAGAAACACTGGAAGCTAGAGAACAAATCCCACCTTCCTTGCTTCTAAGTTCTTTTACTTATTTATTTATTTATTTTATTGTTTATATTTATATCCCGCCTTTCCAGATATCTGGCTCAAGGCGGCTAACAACATTAAAGTGGCATAAACACCCAAGTTAAAACAATTAATAATTACCATACCAGTTAAAACAACACCAGTTGCAATTAACCCAACAGAAATGGCGGTAATCCAAATCCCATCCAACGGTAGGGGTAGCGTCCAGCGGAATCTCAGGCCCGAGGGTGTTCTGAAATTTCAGACCAGACGATGTTCCAGGGCACACTCATCAGTGGCAGCCCCTAATCGAAAGCCTGGTGGAAGGGCTCCGTTTTACAGGCCCTGCGGACCTGTAAAAGGTCCTGCAGGGCCCTGATGTTCTCCGGGAGCTCATTCCACCAGGTTGGGGCCGCCACTGAGAAAGCCCTGGTTCTGGTGACATTCAGCCTGGCTTCCTTCGGACCAGGAAGGGTCAGGCGATGTTGCGACCCTGACCGCAGTGCTCTCTGGGGCACATATGGGGAGAGGCGGTCCCTCAAGTAGGCAGGCCCCTGATCATGTAGGGCTTTAAAGGTTATCACCAGTACCTTGAACCGAATCCGGTACGCTATAGGCAGCCAGTGCAGTGTCCTCAGCACAGGCTGGATGTGGTCCCGTACAGAGAGACCCAACAACAGCCTGGCCGCGGCATTCTGCACTAGCTGCAGCCTCCGGATCTGGGACAAGGGCAGCCCCATGCAGAGAGCATTGCAGTAGTCTAATCTCGAGGTGCATTGCGTGGATCACTGTTGCAAGGTCATTGCGTTCGAGAAAGGTGGTAAAAGGCCAGATTGGCAGTTGCTGCTACCTGGGCCTCCATTGTTAAGGAGGCATCCATGAGCACTCCCAAGCTCCTGACCCTCGGCGCTGGCACTTCTTTTGCTTCTGAACATGTTCTCTGTTTACAGAATATAATGTAGAGGCTAAGCATTCTTTTAAAAAATCTTATGAGTTTATCTAGCCACTTAAACCTGCATAATCGGCTGAGAAAAAAATTCTAAAGAAAAGCGTCATATTTTGATTTTATATGACATGCCCGTGTATTTCAGCAGACATTAACAAGTATTCCTCCTCCTCTTTCTCCGCCCACCCCCCCTCCTCTGTCTCTCCCACACACATGGGATTTTCCATCGGCAGTTTGCAATAAGTACTTGCATTAAAAAACAATTTTTTTAAACATCAGCTAGCTTACTAAACTGGGAACACCTTTTTAGTCAATGAAAGCATTACTTGGCTACCTGCTGCAGGCTCATTATTTACTAGTTGCTCTGTGTGACTGAACAACAACAACAACAACAATGAACTATTTGATTTCAAAGCGCTGGCCCCGATGCAGGCAGCGAACGGCACAACAGGGCAAGTTGTGATGAGGGAAGATTCCCCAGGTACGCAGCAAAATGGAACTTCTCAAACAGCCCCCGCCCCCAACAATAAAAAGGGGATTACTGCTGTCTTTACGTGTGCTCGGGTCACACCATATGAAGTTGCAAAGACAACCGTAATACCATCTGAAGTTACGCAAGGCTTCAGGTACCATTTGGGGTTGTCTTATCAAGCTGGCCAGACACCTCCTGCCCTACTGTTGGGCCTGCCTATGCAGGATCCAGCGTCAGATGGAATACCTGATGCTCAGCCAAGGGCACTGTACTCTGCTGCGGCACAACGGGAGCTGCGCACCTCGGCATCTGTTGAGTTGCCGCAGCAACCCAAAATGGCATCCGAAGCCTCAGAAAGTCATTGTGCAAGACTGGAAATAATTTTGAGTTGCCGTAGCAACCCGGTGGGACGCCGAGGCCTCCTCCCAACTCAAACTGATGAGGACAATGATGGCAAGAGGGGGAAGTGGGAAGGGAGCGGAAGGGGGAGGACTCCTTGCCATTTCTCATAGGTCGCCTGCTTGTAAAGTAATGTTTGTAATAAGTATCACGTACACCGGGCACAAGCCCACCAAGCAATACAGCTGTGTAGCCCTGCCTTCTTTTCAGTGAGTTTTTGGGATCCCCCCCCAACCCAGTCCCCACTGAAATAATCACACCACAGTGGGATGCAGCAGATTTTATCAAAGCAACCATAGCTGATTGCTTTTTAAGTCATTTTACTTACTCTGGCTTTGTATTACTGATCCAGCATGCTGGGATTCCTAGGAAGAAGGGAAATTGGAAGATTTTAGCACAGCACAGTGGCCCTGTGCACCAAGGAGTCACCTGTTCAAACCTTGGCTCAGCCCTATGAGTTTTCAATGCTCCCGCCTGCAATATGGGAATAACACAGGCCTATCTTGCAGGGCTGACGTGAACTTCACTGAGATAAGGGAAAATGCACTGAACAATTTAAAGTGGAATGAAACTGCTAAATTACCACACTCTGCTCAAATTAAGTTTCTAGGAAGATTACAAACGATGCTTCCATAACAAAATGCTTGCTTTGTAGTTTTACGAAATCCATAGCTGTAGAGCCTAAAACTGCACAAAATGATACTGAAAAAGAACAAGAGACAATCTCAGGCACGTGAGTTTGAAACAGGATGCCCTGGGGAACAGGATGCTAGACAAGACAAATGAGCACAGCTCTTCTTAGGAAACCCATGCAAATCAAACTGAGGCAAAAGAAAACATGGGATCAATTTTCACACAAATGATACGCTTTGAAATCTCCATGTTGCATTTTTAACTGCGGCCTTTTTAATACAACCGTTACTTCTTCAAAATTCTAGCCAAGTGCTAAAAGGAAGCTGAAAAGCTGTCTGAGCCAGATTTGAGTCTAAAGACCATCGAGACTTACAGGATATAAGCTTTTGAGAATCAAAGCTCTCTGAAGAGGGGAACCTGGACTCTTGAAAGCTTATACCTGGGAAACCTTGTTGGTCCAAGTGCTACTGGGTTCAAATCTTGCTCTTGTACTACAGACCAACGCGGCTACCCACCTGAAATGCTACACATACTTATAACCAGTTATAGGAAAGAAGGTGAATGCTCGTCTTTACCTTTGCAGGAAAAGGAAACTTAGAAGGCTCAGCTGTGCTAGGAGTATGGATAGCTGTCAAAGGAGGCGGCCATGAATGGGTCATTTCCTGGGAAGGCATTGAGAACAAAAATCAGACTTTAAACACTAATTGGTCATCTCATCCTACTCACAACCTTCCTGACCTTGAGAAAACCCAAGCATTGGAATATGGCAAAGACGTGCTACAGTCAGATTCTGTTTTCCAGCCCTTGGAGTCCTCCCACCTCTAAGAGACCTGCAGCTTATCATGAATCCCTGGTGGGTTTATCTGGAGGTGTTTGCAAACCTGCATTCATAGTATTCCTGGAAAAGAACAACTTCCTTCCTGCAGAAATATGTACTTCTCTAGAAACAACACCTGCATAAAGCAGACTGTTGCGCACAAAGTTGTCAATGCAAAATGACCAATACAGACACTCCCCTGCAGCACCCCAGCCCCTTTAATAGCCAATGTTGATTTATTCTGAA